GTCGCCTGGATCCTTACTGGCAATCGCGAGGCAGCCGCCGTTGCGGTCACGCCTGTGCTCGAGCAGCTGCTCGAAGCTGAGTGCCCGGGAGCTGCGCGCATCAACGGACCGGGCACGGCGTAGCAAAAGGTTACAGAAAGCGACAAATCAGCCGAGTAGGGCGTCGTCGTCATCGCGGACGCGTTCACAGCTGCGTGCACGTCCCATTCGTGGTCGTTTTGTTATTCGTTGTTTTGCCGATCGGCGCGGGCCCTCGCGCCCCCCCTCCCCCCATGGAGTGGACCTTGGCTGTTGTTGGAGCTTGTTTTCAGGCAGGTGGGGCCTCCCCCACCGGGCGCCCAGTCGCAAGCAGTCGCAGTGGGCAGAGAGCTGGAGCCAGACCCCTCCCCCCCCCTCCGCCCGGTGTCGAAGCGCGGGCCAAGAAAGCGCCCGCCTTCCGCACCGTGCGTATGCAGTGGCCATGGAGCTCCTACATCGCCGCGGCATAGCAGCTGGTATGCGCAAGATCACGGCTGCCCTCGGGATCAAGCCAGCAGACGTGCCCATGGCTCTCGCCGCCTCATGGCAAGGGTGCGCCCAGTCCGACATCAGCTACCATGACGCCCAAGGGCCCCCGCCCAGTGACTACAGCATCGCGCGGTGCCTAGATGGCCACAAAACCATGCTTTCGTGCGACAACTCAACCAAACACCAAGCGTACGGGGCCGCTCGTTCGGACGGAAGAGTGGGCATCAACGTCGAACCCGACACCGAGGACACGAAACGAGTCGCCCAGGAATTATTGGGGCCTGACGCTGCTCTCGCCGATGCCAGGTACCGCATCGTGGGTATCTAGCCACAGAGCTTCACCAGGGCGCAAATCGCGAAGGTACCGGCGTCCATCGGACGGCACAGCGAAGTCCACCTTGCAGGGTGGGGCAAAACTTCCAGGGGCGATTTCGTTGTAGTCGAGGTGGCTAACCCCCGGCCGAACGCTGCGCTCAACGTTCGCGGCTCCGCCACCCCTTAGACCATTGTCAATGTCGAGGTGCGTGCTGCGTGCCCCTGGCAAAGCTGATTTCCCAAAGCGCCAGCGGCTGTGATCGTCTCGCCAGAGACCATTGCTACTGAGAAACCTGCTTTAGGATTGCCCACGGGAGGGGGCAGGGCCAAACTCCTCCCCGCCCCTGCAGGGCATGGCAGTCTCTAGACCGCACCTCCAAGGGCCGCTGAAAAGGCAGCCGAGTCCAACCGCGCCGCTGCCTTCCAACATCCTGCCGCCGGGCAAAAAGCAGTGCCACAGCAGAGCGCGGGGTTGTCGCGAACGACGCAGCAGCGTCAAGAAGGAGACCATCGTGTGCATCGGCGATTGCCGCCTTCCCATAAGGAGGCTGTCGACTGCGACATGGTGGGCGTCGCCAACCGAATTAGAGGCGCCGGCGCCCCATTCCTGTCCGCCAACGAGCAGCGCCCGGCAGCGGGCTGCGACGAATTCTCTGACGAGGAGTGGATGCCGCGACTTGGAGTCCAAGGTCTCGCCGACAAAGTGGACGCGAGGTTCAAATATCTGGGGGCTGACCTGTGCCGGCGTGGCCGCCGGTCAGGCCGCCCTCGCGCTGCAGTGCCACCGGCTCGAACAAGGGGCCTACGCGGTCCAATCCCATTACGCCACCATTAACGTGAACCTGAGGGCCTTCATGGGCCAAGTGGCACCTCTCGTCTCGCTCGCCCAAACCCAAATGACACAGGCTGCTCAGGCCACCCGGCCCTGTGCCGGCCCCGGGTGGGTTCGCCGGCGAGGGCAGCCCTGCCGGCGCTTCTCGGGGCCGGGGCACAGGGGAGCGATCGGGTGCCCGAGCAAGCGGGTATCCTGCGCTCCATGCCAGCACCGCCGGGAGCAGTTTGAATGTGCCTCGATGGGCCCTCCTTGCCCCGTCGAGGTTGCGCACGTCGATGGGGCGTCGCAGCCCGCAGCAGGGGTGTCGATGACGTTTGGGGGCGCATCCACAGGGACTGCGGCTTCCACGTGGCCCGCCAATCCTCCGCCTCCGCCTGGGGCCGCTGCATGGGCGCGGCGCTGAGCCCGCTGCGCCGCGCGCGGCGCCGCATTCCAGCCGCCAGGGACCCGCAGGGGGTGCGGCCCGCCGGCGGGCGTTAACCGGGAGGGAGATGTCCCCGACCTCGAGGTGCAGCGGGCGGGCTGCCCACTTTATGCATGGACGTGACGGTCTGCTACCCCGTGCCTGGCGACGAAACCGCGCTGCAAGCAGCGGCCCCACACGACGGCGCGGCCAATGCCGCCGCCGAGGTCGACGTGCTACGGCGCTGCCGGTCAGGTGGCCGCTGCCCGTGGCCTCTCCTGCCGCTGGCCTTGGACACGGGCGGCCGGCTCGGCAAGGCAGCCCTCCGCCACCTCCGCCAGCTCGCCCGCGACCAGGCGGAACACTGGTGGACGAGGACCGCGCCGCGGCGCTTGCCAGCAGCCTTGCGCAGCGCCCAGGCGCGGCACTTGCGGCCGGCCCTTGGGGTGGACTGCGCGGTCTGGGCATTTGCGCTGTGCGTCGCGGCGGTTGGCTGAGCAGCCGCCAGCGCTGGGCTGGCCCCCCAAAGCTCGCATAGAGATTCATCCAGGATGTGCTGCCGCTGCCCGCCACCGTCGCTGTGAGTGATCTCGCCAAAGTTCCGTGGGCGTGGGTGTGCGTGCGGGTGTGCTGTGCTTGGCTCCGCCTCTGAAGGAGGAGGAGCAGGAGGAGGAGGAGGAGGCGGAGGAGGAGGAGGAGGAGGAGGAGGAGGAGGGGAAAAGGAGGAGGAGGAGGAGGAGGAGGAGGGGAGGGAGGAGGAAGAGGCGGAGGAGGAGGAGGGCGGAGAGGAGGATGAGGAGGAGGAGGAGGAAGGAGGAGAAGGAGAGGAGGAGGGAGGAGGAAGAGGAGGAGGAGGAGGAAGGAGGAGCTAGGAGGAGGAGGAGGAGGAGGAGGGAAGAGGAGGAGGAGAGGAGGAGGAGGAGGAGGAGGAAGAGGTGGAGGGAGGAGAGGAAGGAGGAGGAGGAGCAGGAGGAGGAGGAGGAGCAGGAGGAGGAGGAGGAGGAGGAGGAGGAGGAATAATAAGACGAAACATAATAACAATACCAATGAGAAGAAGAATATGAAGAAGAATACGAGGAATAATAGTGATGATAATCATAATAATAATAGTACTACGAAGAATAATACTGATGAGATGAATGCACATACTAATACGGATAATAATAATAAGGATACTTATAATAATAAGACTACTAATACGAATACTGACAATGAGGAGGAGGAGGAATAGGAGGAACAGGAGGAGGAGGAGGAAGAGGATGAATACTAATAATTACAATAAGAAGGAACCACTCAATCATACTACTACTTTTCATTCCACGAATAAGACGTATAATGAAAGTAATAGTAAGACGAATAAGCTCAATAACACTAGGCATACTATTATTAATAATAACAACAGTAAACATACGAAGCATACTCATCGTAATAATAATACTAAACAATAATAATACGACAACGAAGACACCATGCATACCGACAGTACGAATACTCAGAAATCTAATGAGACGGACCAGCATATTAATAACACGAATAACAATTCTGAAGCTACTACTCATACTAACAATACGAAGAATGCGAATAATGTTGCCAACGCTAAGAAGACTAAGCATATGACTAGTTAGAATGAGACGAATAACAATACTACGAAGGATAAGGATAACCATACTACGAATAAGACGAATAATACTAATGATGATCCTACTAATAACGCGAATCATAGTATTCATCAGAAAATGAATAATCATAATAGTAATAACAGTAATAATCATACTATAAAGAAGAAGAGCACGAACACTAATAATAAAAGTATTAATAATAAGAAGACGAATATCAATAATCATAATAATACGAATGATACGGATACGAGTACAAATCGTAATACTAATAATAATAATAATAGTAAGACTAACACTATTACTACTACTATTAATAATGATACTAATAAGAGTCATAATGCTAAGAAGAAGAATAATGAGAAGAGGAGGAGGAGAAGGATGAGGAGGAGGAGGAAGAGGAGTAGGAAGGGAAGGGGGAGGATGAAGAGGAGGAGGAGGAGGAGAAGGAGGAGAGCAGGAGGAGGAGGAGGAGGAGAAAGAGGGGGAGGACGAGGGGGGGAGGAGGGAGGAGGAGGAGGAGGAGGAGAGGAAGGACGACGATGAGGTGGAGGAAGATGAGTGGGAAAGAAAGGGGGAGGATGAGGAGGAGGAACAATGAGGAGAAGCAGGAGGGGAGAGGGAGGAAGAGGAGGAGGAGGAGGAGGGGGAGGAGGGGGAGAAGGACGAGGAGGAGGAGGAGGAGGAGGAGGAGGAGGAGGAGGAGGAGGAGGACCATGAGGAGTTTTAGGAAGCGGAGGCGTGACGCTTCGTGGGGTTTGCGGCCGTGGCCGAGGCGCTTGTGCATCCGGCCATGGCGGCGCTGGGCCCGCGCGCCAAGAAGGTGCTCGTCATCGGTGGCGGCGACGGCGGCGTCGGCGGCGTGCTGCTCAAGTACCCAGGCGTGCTCGTGACGCAGGTGGTTCCTCAGACCAGGAAGCGGTACGGATACCGCTGCCCTTGCGTCGTTTTTGATTTCCTTGGCCTCCCAGGAGGCCCTCGCCGCCACGGCTGGATTCGTCTGGGATCTCCTTTGAAACGCATCCTCGGAAAAGTTTGGGGAGCAGCGGTTCGGGAGTCTGGAGACGGGGGTCAATGCAAAAGGGGGGTCAGCCAGAGCGCCCGATCTTGCAGGGTCTTGCAGGGCCAGGGTCGCATTGACTCGGGCTTGGGTGCAGGATCCCGCGGACGCTTGCAGGATCCTCCGCGTTGACCCGGGCTCGGGTGCAGGATCTGGCAGGACCTTGCAGGTCTCCGTCAGGCTTGACGGATCATAGCTTGGATGGACCCGGGTCAGAAGATCCCCGAGAGGTGCCAGTTTTTTCTGTTGGCTCCCCCAGCCCCGCCCCTCGCAACGTGCAGGTTTGTGGCGCGTCGACGCGGCGGCGGCCCCGACGCCGGCGTTCGACGGCCCACGCCGCGGGTGGCACCGGAATCGGCTGGCACAGCGATCCGCGCTGTCGGAGAGCCGCGGTCGTTCAAGGCTTCAGTGCAAGATTTAAGTCGCGCAGGAGGAGTATTCAAAACTGGTGAAAGAATAGTCCGGGGAGCATTTCAGGTGCATTTTTGATTCTCTTTTGACTATGTACACTTGTTCCTCGAATCCGCCTGTGGGGGACACGCCCGACCTAAGCATAGCGATCCGCTCTGTCGGAAAGCCGCGGTCGTTCAAGAACCAACGACGCGCGCGTTGTCAGCAGCCAGCGCCGATGCCGTCAGGGTCAATGTCGACCCGACCGCTGCGATTTGAGGCCGATTTCGGCCGGCCCGATCGGTCTCGGTCCAAGCATTCCGACGATCTGATGCGGCCCGATGCTTGCGTTAAGTCGGGCCTGTCCCTCTACAGGAGGGTTATTTTAAAAAGCGAGAAAAGTAGTCTGGGGACGATTTGTTTGACTATTGTTGTCTTTTTTTTTCGAGTATTTTTTGATTTTTCGCCCAAAATCCTCCTGTAGGGGGACACGCCCGACTTAATGCTTGCGCGGCGCCGTTATGCATCTTGGTGCGGCCGACCCGATCCGAGTCCGATCGTGGGGCAGGAGCAGGACCAGGATGCTATGCTCGCAGCCGCCGCCGCCGCCCAACGTATGAGCGGGCGTGCTTCGGGGCAAGCTGGCGAAAGTGAGACGTGAAGGCCAAATCTGTGCACCATGTTTCGGAGGTGGATAGACCTCTTACCCTGGCACGTCGATTGCGGAAGTGGCCATTTTCGGTTCGCGAGAGGGCGTCGCGGCCGTCATTTTTGCGGGTCCCCAGGCCGTTTTCATAAAGGGAGCTTTGCTAAAGGGAGGTTTGTCCACCGCCGACGTTAAAAAACAAATTTGTGCACCATGTTCCGGGCGAAGGCCCGCACGCCTTCGTGTCGTCATGCGTGTGCGTGCAGGTGCGGCTCCCATGCGGAGCCATGCCGATGCGGCCCGATCCGACACCGTTTTCGGTCCGACCCGATTCATCGATTCGGTGTTGTCCCCTCCTTCCCTCGATATTCACCTCGAGGGGGATATCGAGGCTCGATGATCGAGCACGAGGACCGAGGGTTGAGATGTACCTCGAGGGGAGGGGGGGGGCAAGGTGTTTTGGTGTATGCTGGGGCCCTCTTCGGGCTGGGGCCTCCCAGGGCCTCACAGGGGGCTCCTGGGGCCCTCAGGATGGGGAAGGACGACTTTTTTTGTTGCCTCTTCTGTGCGCGGTCGCGCGCGCGCGCGTGTGTGTGTGTGTGTGTGTGCGCGGTCGCGCGCGCGCGTGTGTGTGCTTGTGTGTGTGTGCGTGTGTGTGCGTGTGTGTGCGTGTGTGAGAGAGTGGGTGCGTGGGCTCCGCCCTTCTTGGGGGTCCGCGCTGCCACGGTGGGGTTCGCCCCGGAAGCGTGGTCCACTGGGTCGCAATCCCCGGACATCTCCAGAGGGCGACGCCGAGGGCCCGCCGGGCGCCCGCGAAGCCCGCATGCCCAACAGCCCTGACGCCCTCCATTCCTTCTGGCGCGAAGACCCTGATGCCCTAAGACCACACTGCCATCATACCTTTATGTCGGGCGTGTCCCCCTACAGGATTTTCGACGAAAAATAAGTTATCCCGGCAAAGCAACCTAACAGCGATGTGTATAAGCATATCTGGAAGCATTCCCCTTGAGATTCAGGTGATAATCCAATTGTAGCATTATGCTGTTCTCGCAGTCGCAGTCGCACTCGCAATGACAGTCGCAGTGGCAACGGCCTTAGGATCCAATGGAATCCTAAGATTCCTGGGGATTCCTAAGGCATCCTTAGGCATCCTTAGGAATCCGTAGGAATCCTTAGGAAACCTTAGGAATCCTTAGGAATCCTGACTCCTAGGGATTCCTAAGGATTCCTAAGGATTCCTAGGAAATCCTAAGGATTCCGAAGGATTCGCCTGCCTTGGCCTCAGCCTCAGCCTGCCTCAGCCTCAGCCTGCCTCAGCCTCAGCCTCAGCCTGTCTCAGCCTCAGCCTGCCTGAGCATCAGCCAAAGCCTCAGCCTGCCTCAGCCTGCCTCAGCCTCAGTCTCAGCCTGCCTCGGCCTCAGCCTCAGCCTCAGCCTGCCTCAGCCTCAGCCTCAGCCTGCCTCAGCCTCAGCCTGCATCAGCCTCAGCCTCAGCCTGCCTCAGCCTCAGCCTCAGCCTCAGCCTGCCTCAGCCTCCTCAGCCTCAGCCTCAGCCTCCTGCCTCAGCCTCAGCCTGCTTCAGCCTCAGCCTCAGTCTGCCTTCAGCCTCGGCCTCAGCCTCAGCCTGCCTCAGCCTCAGCCTCAGCCTCAGCCTCAGCCTCAGCCAGCCTCTCAGCCTCAGCATCAGCCTCAGCCTCAGCCTCAGCCTCAGCCTCAGCCTCAGCCTCAGCCTCAGCCTGCAGCCAGCCTCAGCCTCAGCCTCAGCCTGCCTTCAGCCTCAGCCTCAGCCTCAGCCTGCCTCAGCCTCAGCCTCAGCCTCAGCCTTAGCCTCAGCCTGCAGCCAGCCTCAGCCTCAGCCTGCCTCGGCTTGCCTCAGCCTCAGCCTCAGCCTGCGGCCTCAGCTTCAGCCTCAGCCTGCCTCAGCCTCAGCGTCAGCCTCTCAGCCTCAGCCTGCCTCAGCCTCAGTCTCAGCCTGCCTCAGCCTCAGCCTCAGCCTGCCTCGGCCTCAGCCTGCGTCAGCCTTAGCCTCAGCCTGCATCAGCCTCGGCCTGCCTCAGCCTCAGCCTCAGCCTGCCTCGGCTGCCCCAGCCTCAGCCTGCCTCAGCTTCAGCCTCAGCCTCAGCCTTCCTCGGCTTGCCTCAGCCTCAGCCTCAGCCTGCCTCAGTTTCAGCCTCAGCCTCAGCCTGCCTCGGCTTGCCTCAGCCTCAGCCTCAGCCTGCCTCAGCCTCAGCCTCAGCCTGCCTCGGCCTCAGCCTGCGTCAGCCTCAGCCTCAGCCTGCCTCAGCCTCAGCCTGCCTCAGCCTCAGTCTCAGCCTGCCTCGGCTGCCGCAGCCTCAGCCTGCCTCAGCTTCAGCCTCAACCTCAGTCTGTCTCGGCCTCAGCCTCAGCCTCAGCCTACCTCGGCTCACAGTTGGCTCCAGGCAATCAAAATATGGGACAGGGAAGAGTTCTGGGAACACGAAAAACACGAAGTGGCCTACAGTCGGCTCCGGGCATTCAAAATGTGGCCTGGGAATCGTGTTCTGGGAACACGAAGAACACGAAGTGGCCTACAGTTGGCTCCGGGCATTCAAAATGTGGCCTGGGAAATGTGTTCTGGGAAGACGAAGAACACGAAGTGGCCTACAGTTGGCTCCGGGCATTCAAAACGTGGCCTGGGAATAATGTTCTGGGAACGCAAAGAGCACGAAGTGGCCTACAGCTGGCTCCGGGCATTCAAAATGTGGCCTGGGAATGGTGTTCTGGGAAGACGAAGAACACGAAGTGGCCTACAGTTGGCTCCGGGCATTCAAAATGTGGCCCGGGAATCATGTTCTGGGAACGCAAAATGCACGAAGTGGCCTACAGTTGGTTCCGGGCATTCAAAGTGTGGCCTGGGAATGGTGTTTTGGGAACACGAAGAAGACGAAATGGCCTAGAGTTGGCTCCGGGCATTCAAATGCGGCTTGGGAATGGTGTTCCGATTGGTGTGCTGATGCCGCTGTTCGTCCTGGAGGGGCCTCGTCACCACGGCTGCATTCGCCTCAGAGTTCTGATCCGAACGCGCCCCAGGAGAGGCCCTGGGAGCAGCGGTATCGGAACCGTTCAGTTCCCCGGAGTTCTGCCAGGTGGAGATAGACGCTGAGGTGATCGAGGCAGCCAAGCGTTTTATGCCCAGCCTGGCCCGGTCGTACGACGACCCCCGCCACACCCTCGTCGTGGGCGACGCCATCAAGTGGGTCGCCGCTCAGGCCGAGGCTGGGGCGCACCTCGGGGAGTTCGACCTGTGCGTGATCGACACCACGGACGAGCCGCTGGCCAGCCTGTGGACCAAGGAGTTCTTCCAGACGCTGCGCAGGCTGATGGCGCCACACGGCGCCGTGGTGCAGAACGTGGGCTCGATGGGGGACTGGCTGTGGCTGCATCACCAGGAGCACACGGCGGCCTTCCGTCGCACTCACATCCTCAGCTCGCTCTCGCCGGACTACCCGTCCCCGTACTTCCTCAGCCTCGCGACGGACGAGCTGGACCCCTTCGCCGTGGACTGGGACTGGTGGTCGGGCCTGGGCATCGAGACCGTGTACTACCACCCCACCCTGCACGCAGGACTCTTCGCGATCCCCCGCGAGACCTCCCGCTTCTACGCGGAGGGCGGCGAGTGGCGGCCCATGGACGCCGCGCAGTGCGCCAAGCTGGACGCGGGAGCCCAGCGGGGAGAGGCCGGGCGCGGCGAGGAGCTCTGACTTCGCGCCGGGAGCAGACCGATCGTGGCCTCTCGGCAGTCCGAGCGCGCGCAGAGCACGAGCCTGTGACGCAGGGCATGCCCCGCAGCCAGGCCCGGACGCGGGGCGCCCTCTCGCGGCATGCCTCCTGCTCCCTCGGCCCGAGCGGGGGGTGCCCCGGCGCGTCCTGGGCGGCCTGCAGCCTCTGGCTGCTCCATCCTCTGCGGCCGATGTTTGACAGTCTCGGTGTCTCCACCCCAGGCCCCAGCGGCAGTGCTCCCATGCGTCCTCCGCACCAACTTCGACACCATTCACACTGTCGTCGCTCCAACTGGAGGCGAGGGAGCTGCACATGGTCGGGTCCTTCGGCATGGCAATTCTGAGGGTATTGGGGTTCTCGTGGAGCTCGTTTGGGCATCCTCGACAGCACCACCACGAGCGGTGCTTGCGCAGCCCCGGCTTCTGGCCCTCGCGCTGGCCGCTCTGCGCTCCGGATCTCGTCGGAGGGCGCCCTCGTGAGCGCGGCGGGGCCTGGCTCGAAGCGCCGGCCAGGGCGGGGGTGCCTCAGGTGGGGGGGGGGACGGAGACACAGACACAAAGCAAACGTCGATTTCCAGACAAGTATGGGACAGCGTGGGGTGTGGAGGGGAAGACGAGCATCCAGAGCACGTGCGCATGTATATGGGGAGTCCCGGGACTTGTGCGCATGTTCTGCCCGAACGAAATGGGCACGGAAAGAATGGGTACAATGCCCAACAGCGGATCTTGTTCATTTGGAACAGGACTCGCTGTCCACGCCGCCGCGGCCTGTGTCCATTCGAGACAGAAGGCCACCGGCCCAACAGCGGCCGCTGTTGGTTTGGGACATCATTTGTTGTTGGGCATTGTACCCATTCTTTCCGTACCCATTTCGGGCGTTCAAACATGTGTTCGTGGGGGCCTTTGGGCCCCCTCCGTGCCGCCCCTGGCCCTCGCCCCCGCCTGCCGCGCCGCCGACCTTCCTCTCCCGAGGCGAGCGCGCCTCGCCTCACCGAGCAGGCCCCTCCGTGCTCTCCTCCGCCACGCTCCTGGCTCGCAGGCGACTGCTCCCCCCCTCCCCCCGGACTCTGCGACGAGAAGCGGAGCTGCCGGGCGTCCAGATTGCAGGAGTCTGCGAGATTCTTCGGGGCTGGACAGAACCCCCAACAGTGACACGTCGATTAGTGAATTGTCCGTTTTCGGCTTTCGAGAGGGCGCCGTGGCCGCTATTTTCCAGGCTTGCGCCCGCCGGGTTTGGGCCCGAGGTAGTTTTCACTAAACCACGTTTTGCTAAAGGGGGTTCTGTCCATCCCCGAAAATTGCAGGAGTCTGCGAGATTCTGCAGGGCCTGACTGGCCCGAGTCTGGCTTGGCCCGGGTCAGCGGATCCCCGCAGGGGAGGCTCCTGCGCGCCCCTCGGCGGGGGCGGGCCGGTGCGCCCCGAGAAGACGCCTTGTGGCAGCCCCAGGGGCAGGGGAGGAGGAAGTTTTGGCGGCGAGCGAGGGGGGCAAGGAGGAGGAGGAGGAGGCTTTCTCAGAAGGCGGCGGGGCTTCTCAGGAGCCCTCGCGCCTTCTGAGCTTTTTCTTTAGGTTGTTGTTGCTGTTGTTGTTGTTGTTGTTGTTGTTGTTGTTGTTGTTGTTGTTGTTGTTGTTGCTGTTGCTGTTGCTGTTGTGGTTGTTGTTGTTGTTGTTGATGTTATTGGTGTTTGTTGCTGTTGTGGTTGTTGTTGTTGATGTTATTGGTGTTTGTTGCTGTTCTTGTTATTGTTGTGGTTGTTGTTGTGGTTGTTGTTGTGGCTTACCGAGCCTTCTGAGAAGGCCTTCTCTTTCTCATTTCCCCCCCTCGCTCGCCGCACAATACACTCCGACCCCGATGATTGGCGTTTGCTAAAAGGACCCGGGCGTTTACGAAACAGCCCTGCCCTGTTCGATTCCTGCCGTGGGTGCGTCTTGCTATCTGTCGGGGTGCTGATGATTTATGGGGTGTTCTTTCTGCTCTCGACAGGGGGCCCGAGACTGGCCCTGCAGGCCCATTCCTGCGAAAAGCTGGCTGCCCCCATTTGTTCTCGCACTGCAGGATGCCCGGGGCGAGAGCGCCGAGGTCGTCGCTCCGCAGAAGTAAACTTTCGGACGGGGCTGGGACGAGGACGATTTCGTTCCAGAGCGCCCCGTTCGGAGCGCTCTTAGAGCGCCCCAGAGCGCTCCGAGAGGGCCGCGGCGCCTGAGAGGGCCGCGGCGCCCGAGACATCCTCCAGAGCCGCCGGAGCTCAGAGATTGTCGATCTATCCTCACCCGATTGCATCCTCGTCCTGGCTTCGCCTTACATCTGGGCCACGGAGGGAAACGGGGCCGTCTTCACCGACATAGGCGCGTAAGCTGCCCGCGTAAGGTCGCGCGTTAGCGCCCACCGCTTCCGATGTACCGTGCCGCGCTGGCGGCCCGCGCTGTATGTGCGTCGGTGCAAGGAGAAAGAGGAGGAGGAGGAGGACGAGGAGGAGGAGGACGAGGAGGAGGAGAGGAGGAGAAGGAGGAGGAGGAGGAGGAGGAGGAGGAGGAGGAGGAGTCTGGGCGCCTTCTGCGCGCCTCTTGGGCGTGAGCGCGGCTGTGGCCACGATCGCGCTCTGTGCCGCGATCGCGCCCCGCTGCAGGCGGCCCGAGGGCCACGAACCGCCCTCTTCCTCCTCCTGCTCCTCCTCCACCTCCTCCTCCTCCTCCACCTCCTCCTCCTCCTCCTCCTCCTCCACCTTCTCCTCCTCCTCCTCCTCCTCCTCCTCCTCCTCGTCCTCCTCCTCCTCCTCCTCCTCCCGCCGACCGGCAGGCCAAGCACTTCGCTGGCACGATCTGGGGCTGGGCCGACGACGGAGAGACGGTGGTCTACGACCTCACCTTCGAGCTGGACCTGGGCGGCGCGCGCGCGCGGGCCGACGAGGGCCGCGGCGGCGACGAGGCCGACGAGGCCGGCGAGGCCGGTGAGTCCGACGACGGCGGCGGCGGCGGCGGCGGAGGCGGCGGAGGCGGCGGCGGAGGCGGTGGTGGCGGCGGTGGCGGCCGCGACGAGACCGACGAGGCCGATCGAGGACGACAAGCGCCTTCGGAGGCCTGCTGAAGGCCTCGGGAGGTCTTCCAGAGCTCTCCTGGAGGCCTCCAAAGGCACCGCAAAACAGAAAGGGCAAGCAATCGTCCAGGGGGCGGTTTCTCTTTGGATTCTGGCAAGTTTATTTTCGCGGAGGGGTTGGGGAGGGGGGGAGACTGGGTGAGGCGCGAAAGGAAATCTGGAATTCACGCATGCGGGGACTCATTTGCACGGTTTCCCGGCCCAGCGCTCTTGGAAAATGCGGCGCAGGGTGGGGGTGGGGGACTGCCATGCAAGTGAACTTGCCCGCGTCTGCATGAAATCAGTCTCCGAGGGCCTGGTTCCGCAGCGGCGGTGGCGACGACGTCGCCGGGCTGGGCGGGGTGTGAGCGCGGGCAGGGCTCATAGTCGCCCTTGATTAGTAGGTCGACCCTGCCAAATCAGGGGTACCCTCGTGTCCTGTGTCTCGCGACCCAAGCCTCTTACATACAGGCGGCCCGGATTAGTAGGTCGACCCTGCCAGATCAAGGGTACCCTCGTGTCCTGTTGCGACCCATTGGACTCGATCCGAGAGGGCACGCGAGAGGACAGAAGACCCTTCCGAGGGCCACATCACCACAGGACTGCAGGAAGCACCGAGCCACCGGCTGGCTCCTCCGTCTCCCGGCGCCCTCTCTTGCGCCCTCGCCTGCCTCGGCGCTGTCTTTCTCCTCGCCGTCCGGCTCCTCCTCTCCCCCCTTGGGGCTCAATGCTTCGAGTGCAGGGGATCGACCACAGAATTGATTTGCCCCAGCCTTGATTTCCCAGTCGCATCTGCGGAACAAGTACATCGAATGTTCAGTACGTCAGCTTTGTTGTCGATCCCCTACTCGAACACTCAAGGCTTCAGGTTGCCCGGTGGACCGAGTGAATGCCGCGAATCCGTGGCTGGACTCCCAGACCCCCGTCTCTTGGTCCCTCAGCTCTCGACATACGTAAGACCAGCAACCACTAGCACATTGTGGGGTCGCTCTAGATGCCTGTCCAATCGTCAGCTCGCTTGTCCATCTCTCCTCGGGAGTGACGTAAACCTTATCATCTCAAATCATGTAGTCTGGATTGTCAGGGACCCAATTGACGTGACGATGGACGATGCGAAACGCTTGGAGACTGCTTCCACATTTCAGTGGCACACGCCTTGAATCCTTTGCGGGCCGTAGACTTAGATACTCAATGGATCGAGGATTGAAACGCTCTGCAATTTTCAGTACCTCCTCCAGCTCCTACCTCCACCGACTCGATCTGCTGGATCGCCATTGGAGGACAAGGAGGAGAAGGAGGAGGAGCAGGGGGCGTCGTGCGAGGCTGCGGAGGGGTGCCGCTCGGCTGGCGGTGAGGGGCGGTTCGCTTATGGCGGGCTCGTGGCGCCCCCCTGCAGGCCTTCGCTGCCGTTCGCTGCAAAATCCGGCCTCCGGGGGCCGCTTCCGAGCCGATCAGCAGAGAGGCTCGGGACGGACTGCCTGCCCCGCAGGGGGCGCGAGGCCTCGCGCCTGGGAGGCTGGAGGTTGGCAAGAGCGCTGGGGGCGCCGCGCAGGTCTCCGGAGACTTCTGTCCGACGAAGGCATCTATACACCACCACCGTGCCAGGACCAGGGCCATCCTGGGCCGAAGGATGGTGTATAGACCCTCCTGGCTCGGCCCGGATGGCGTACACACCATCCTAGGGCCCAAGATGGCCCTAGCCTGGCACGGTGGTGGTGTATAGATGCCTTCTGCGTATTCTGGATCGACCTCCCGGCGTCTCCAGAGGATCAGCCCAAAAAAGCGCTGCGGGCGATCGACAACATGTCTCGTGGCGCCCGCCTCGCAGGGCGGAGATCGGTCGGAGAAGCATGGGATGGGCCCCGATGATCCTGGAGAGTTTCGTTCCGGATTCCGAGGTGAATTTCGTGCGGGTTCTTCTGGGGCCAGGACTGAAGACCAAAACCAATCCACGCGAAGTTCGCTTCGTTGATCACTCGCCGTTTTGGGTATTTGCGTTGACAGAAGTGTCCACGCAAACAATCCGCCGCAGCACGTCTGCAAGGTCGGTGCAGTGACATTCGGGCCCTTCTTCCTCGACGGCCTCCACTCGCGCGATCCCCTCCTCGGAATCCCCGAGCGCGACGGCTGGGAGGACCACTCGGTGAAGTCCAGCAGGGGCGCCAGGGGCCACTGGGACGTTGTGGCCGGCAACCGCATCAAGATGGACATAGATGGCGGCACTTTCATCATGCGCATGGAAGGACTCAGACCTCCCTCGAAGAAGAACAAAACACACACAAACATAAACTTTGAGCGCTCCATCCGCGTCCTCCATGCGTGGATCGCATTCCTAGGCTTCCGTATGCACGGATCGCATCCTCAGGGAACCTTTGACATGCTGAGATCGCATTCCTAGGTCTCCATATGCACGGATCG